AAGGGAGTAGCCTGGCAATGCAGGTTGCCCCTGGTGGACACAGGTAGACTTTGAGCGCCGAGGTGATCGGCAGCTCAGTGGAACCCAGACCGGGCCGAGAGGAACCTGCCGCTATACAGGTTTCCGGCAACCCCGACTGACCCACGCGCCCGAGGTGTCCTCGAAGCTGGTCGGCGCCAGGCTTAATCGCCAGTCAGGGCACCAGGGCAAAACCTGCAGGGCTTAAACCTGCATCGCCGGGCGCCAGGCGCTCGTGATCTAACCTGAGCCCGGCTAGGTCGCCACAAGGTGCCGCCGGGCCGAGGTGTCCCCGAAGCTGGTTCTGCTTCAGGCGATCGCCAGTCAGGGCACCAGGCTAAGACAGGGCAAAACCTGCATCGCCGGGCGCCAGAAGCTCGTGATCTAACCTGAGCCCGGCTAGGTCGCCACAAGGTGCCAAGGCACACCATCACCAGAGCCGGGCCAGGATCAAGCTGCCTGGGAGGAGGCGCCGTTCTCCGAGCCAGAGCTCGGGCCGCAGCCAACCCCCAGATGCGCCCGATCCACCCCGACGACAGGCGTGTTGAGCTCCTTTGCGGAACCCAGACAGCACCGGTCAATCGGGCGGAATTTCACCACAGACGACACCTGGTGAACTTACCTTCGAGATCAACACTTTATAGCCGAAGCTCCTTACGGAGCCCGACATCGCTTATCAATCATCGAATTGACATTATGTTGAAGAATATGTTGCTGCAATAGTGAAGCAAATTGAGTCATATTTAAGTCAGCAACATTGTTTTGCGGGGAAACGATAAAGGATTTCCTTAGAAACCTTTTATCAAATATTATCCCCGCCTGAAGCAGATTAGTGAAAACATAAAATCTGCGCGTGTCGGAAAGAATGCGCCGTGGAGGCTTAGAAACCCAGACAAAAACACAACCTCGCCTATGAGCCACGCGCTGTGTGTAAACGTATGAAATATGTACATAATACAACATAATGTAACAGTAATATTGACGCTAAGGGCTTATTATGAGCATCCTTGATCGTCGTGAGCGCCCACGCTAAACACCGAGGCACACTTTATAACCATCCTGTGGCGGTAGTGTGCATGGCACAACGACAGGGTGTAAACTGCAACAAACAGAACCACGCCAGTGTTACTAGCAGGAACTGTGAAGCAGCAAACACATAAACACAAGTAATAGCAAGAATAATCCGCGACGGGCTTATATATAAATGCTACAAGCTACAGCCATTTAAATACTAAACATACAATGCAAAGCAGAAAAAAGGCTAGCCACCCCTGCGCGGTACTAGTGATAGAGTAAAGTTGAGTGATACCAAAACGAACACTATCAAAATTACTCAACAACGACTTACTTACCAAATTCGCTGAAAAGAAAGAGAATTTAGGCAAGCCTACCATATAATATGCAAACATAATATATGAACTCCCTACTACAAGCTACCAAGAACATATAGCAAGGAAACCACGATCGCTGGGTCCGCCATTTTGCCTGCCACATGGCTGGAAAACAGAGAACCCACGGCAAAGTTACAACAAAAGATGAATGAAAATATCCACATATGACGCCCATCTAACGCCGATGAGAGAAAGGAACCATACATACAGATTGAGACTCTTTACACTCATCGTCGATCGGTAGGAGAGCAAACTCGAAACTAACACCACGCACGCCTATTCAACAGAACGACAGCATGAAAAGTGAGGTACGAGGTAGACGGCGCAGAGTTACCTGCTCTTGGCTGTGTTGGTCCGTGGGGCCCTGTAGGGTGGTCTCACAAGACAAAACGAAGTTTTTGTTTTGTAAATATATTTATTAAAAATATAGTTACAACTGTCAAGGAGGATTTGAAAAATGGACATTTTAATGCTTATATGAATGTATCGCCATAATTGTAGAATTAAAGCTGAACTTGTTGTACATATTTCTTCTCAGAAACTTTGACGATTATGAGTTATACTCGCTGTAACAAGGCTGCTGTTCAATTTCGATATTGAATTGTCTGCAGATCTGCGTAATGGTCACGCATGTAGATACTCGTGATCGTAGTCGGGATTGCATATTCTAGCAATCTATACGGAAAGGTTTATTTCTGTGAAGATCTATGCAACGCCGCTGATTAATTAATATAGCGACGCTTGTGTTGTAAATAGCCTGTGCAATTGTCTTCGCGTAGGCTTATAGACGGCATATGGCATACAGTTGATAGACAACTTATGCGATGTCTTGAACGGACTGACGAAAGTAGCTATATATGACGAAAGTGGCTAATATATGGAGACCTTGGAGGAGAATTCCTCGGTGGACGCCGGAGATTTCGCTAAGCTCTCAAGTATCCAATCTAGATTTCCTGTGTGAGGTAGACTTGAGAGCCACTTTAGCCTTCGCGACCTTCGCCAGCGAAGGTATTGAGTCAGAGCCCCGATCAGTATATATATAATATATGAGCTTGCTTCGCGAATCCACCTCTGTGTTCAACAGGAGTGAGTGAGTGAGTGTATTGTTTTACCGCGACTCAGCAATATGTGGGGTCGGTGAAGCTACTCCTCCGTGACGCCCCTTGTAACTGGTGAGGCTCTAGCTCCTTCGCCAGGAGGTGGCCTGGGACTTCCTAGGCGAAGTGTCTAGAAACCGATCAATATATGAGCCGCTAGCTTCATACAGGGTGTGGTTCTTGCTGGTTCTGCATAAGTAGAGCCGAGTAGATCATCCTATCATCTTCAGAAGTCGTGTCACGCGAAATCTGGTGATAAGAATCTCATTGATCGTTCTAGATCTATTAATGCCAATAACATACTTCTGGCGCTTGAACTGTTATGGCTTTATGGTAGGCTGTGTCCACATACTGTGGCACCGCAGCAATCGAAGTCGATTGGAGGTAAGGTGATGGCGCCTGCCTCGCCTTCCTTTATCAGGTATGTTCGCGCCGAAGTTGCCACTCTTGGAAGGTGAAGAGAGATCTAGGTTGTTTACCATCCAATATCGTGATCTCAGCGCCTGAGAAAATGATGCCTCCATCATTTTCTATCCCAGCATCACTGATGAGAGGTTGATGCTCTTCTGATGGTGGACTGTGTATTTCTATCTCTATGTCGGGTGACGCTCGGGGAGACCTGACTGTAGACTTGTGTGCAGACTTGTGTGGTGACCTGTGAGACGATCGACGTGGTGATGTACGAGGAGATCGGGCGCCGTTAACGGCGCGGAGATCGTGGTTGGTGAACTGCGCGCCTATGGGTTGACCTTCTCGGAGACCTGTGAGGAGAATGTTGATAGCTTCGCGAAGCTCTCGTGTAGTCAGGTGTCCTTCGCGAAGGCCTTCGCGAAGCTTCCTCTGCGTCCGGTCCTGGGGAACGGCGATTTGACCTTCGCGAAGGCTTCCGTGAGGTCTGACGGTCTGAGTCCGCATCTAGGGATGAAGCCGAGGAATGTGATGATCTATCCCGCCTTCGCGAAGGCTGTACATCTGGGTCCTTCGTGGAGGTGGTCTGCGACTTCCTTCGCGAAGGTGGCTTCGTCGTGGCTGCTACGCTGATGGGGTGCCTCTGGGGTGTCGCTCTGCGCTGGAACCTTCGCAAGGCTCGGCCTTGGGCTGGCTGCTTCCCAGTCTGTGGTGGCCCTCCATCATGATCATGATTTGCCGCAACAGTTCATCTGGGATGGTCTGCGATTTAATTAGTCGGTGCCCTCTCTGCGATGTTAGCGGCGGGACCCTCAGGGAAGTCGCCTGACGCCAGTGTAGAGACATCAGGCTGCATGGCGATCTCTGCTGATGTCACTGTAGCTGTCTCCGGTCGCTTCTTGTGGCGACGCCGGGATGATGATCAGCTGATCATCGAGAGGCCCAGTTCAGCGGCTGGAACAATCTCGCTGAGAAAGTCCTAGTAGACTTCGCTGATTTCCCTCAGAGGTCGACGCTGCCCTGGGGTGCTAAGTCTGCGCTGAGTGTTGGTAGCGACGGACCCTCAGGAAGATCATAGAATATCAGCGCTGGTACATCAGGCTGCATGTTGATCTGGCGCTGACATCACTGTTGCCGACATCGGTCATTCTTTGATGTATTATCAGGTATGATGATCGGCTGATCATCATACAGGCCCAAATCTCGCGACGGGAACAATCTCGCTGAGAAAGTTCAAGTAGACTTCGCTGATTTCCCTCAGAGGTCGCTTGAGATGCAGTAGAAAAACTCTAGTCTTCGCCGCGACGATGGGATGTCTGGGGAAGCAGGACGCTCTTGGAGGCGGGCGGACTACGCCCCACGCCTCTCCACCACTCTAGCGAACACCAGACGGAGCGGGTCGAATTCAACAGCAGTAGACTGGCGAGGGGTTCAGGTGTATCAGTCATGGCTAGACTCTGCATACGCGACCTATCTGCGCTGCGCTGCCTCAAACGCAAAGTAATTATTTATTAAAGGCAGAAATGGATAAATTAGTACCGCGAACTGCAACGGAATAAAATGAACATGGCGCAGTACAACTAGGGCATATTAAATGCGGATCAGCAGCAGAATAAAAACGAATCTGCAACAGAACAGAATTTTTATCAACGTAATCCACTGAAACAAACACGGCCCCGTGAATAAACAGTAGAAACACGACTAAATATCAATATATAATTGTTGAAGGATACTAGCTAAACCTCTATAGATGTCTATAATACGAGGTAACTAACTAAATATAATCAAAGGATATAGTGTGTCGGAGACACAGGTGCTCTCACGCCCAGCTCACTGGGCTAAGAAGGAGAGAGTGAGGCACATGGGTGGAGGTGGGCCCTCGCTCCCGGCTTGTGGAAGGGAGGTAACTCGTGCTGAGTACTAATTAGTGATTTTACATTGAAGGAGCTTCAATTAGTGGAGATACAAGTGTTCCACAAGCAAAAGAGCATGTTCGCAAGAAGAAGAAGACAAGCGTTTGAAAAAAGAGCATGAGTCAGGATAAGGAAAAACTGTGACATTTTATGGCAAGCTTGTCCGTCAACGAGCACGATGGAGACGCCATTGATCCGCTATTTATATGACTGAGTTCTGTCTTTAAGAAACGTTTGAGCATCGTGCAGGGGAAGAGGTTTTAGTTTTCCCGAAGCATACAGAAATTACAAAGACCTTGCGAATGATCACTTTTGAAACAACGTCACTGATTGCACAACTAAATCTGATTGCAACCAATCACAAATCCTGAACACCCACACCATGAAAGGGACGTATTAGAACAGATGTTCGTAGAAGATATGACAAGTAACCTCTGTAGGAAGAGAATGCAATCACTGGTGACATGTATGTTCCAGCTGCCTGAAATATGGCGCCTACTTACATCACAGTAGATACGCTTGGAGACTCCAAACTTGAGAATGAAGACATCAAAGGAATGATCCATCACCCCCATTATCATCGCCTGCTCTTCAAAGGGGCCAACCTCCTGCAAACAAAACCACAGTCATGTTGAAGGTCAGCCAGTCAGATTACCTCCTGTCCACCATGAACATCTTCCCTCTCTGGATCACCCCATGCCCCTTGTCTGTGATGCCTCTCTAGATCAAACCATGCCCCTTCTCTCTGATGCCCATCTTCCCCTCCCTAGATCAAACCATGCCCCTTCTCTGTGATGCCCATCTTCCCCTCTCTAGATCAAACCATGCCCCTTCTCTGTGATGCCCATCTTCCCCTCTCTAGATCACCCCATGCCCCTTGTCTCTGATGCCCATCTTCCCCTCTCTAGATCACCCCATGCCCCTTGTCTGTGATGCCCATCTTCCCCTCTCTAGATCAAACCATGCCCCTTCTCTGTGAAGCCGATCTTCCCCTCTCTAGATCACCACATGCCCCTTGTCTGTGATGCCCATCTTCCCCTCTCTAGATCACCCCATGCCCCTTCTCTCTGATGCCCATCTTCCCCTCTCTAGATCACCACATGCCCCTTGTCTGTGATGCTCATCTTCCCCTCTCTAGATCACCCCATGCCCCTTCTCTCTGATGCTCATCTTCCCATCTCTAGATCACCCCATGTCCCTTCTCTGTGATGCCCATCTTCCCCTCTCTAGATCAAACCATGCCCCTTGTCTGTGATGCCCTTCTTCCCATCTCTAGATCACCCCATGCCCCTTGTCTCTGATGCCCATCTTCCCATCTCTAGATCACCCCATGCCCCTTGTCTGTGATGCTCATCTTCCCCTCTCTAGATCACCCCATGCCCCTTGTCTGTGATGCCCTTCTTCCCCTCTCTAGATCACCCCATGCCCCTTGTCTCTGATGCCCATCTTCCCATCTCTAGATCACCCCATGCCCCTTGTCTGTGATGCCCATCTTCCCATCTCTAGATCACCACATGCCCCTTCTCTGTGATGCCCATCTTCCCATCTCTAGATCACCCCATGCCCCTTCTCTCTGATGCTCATCTTCCCCTCTCTTGATCAAACCATGCCCCTTCTCTGTGATGCCCATCTTCCCCTCTCTAGATCACCCCATGTCCTTTCTCTGTGATGCCCATCTTCCCATCTCTAGATCACCCCATGCCCCTTGTCTGTGATGCCCATCTTCCCCTCTCTAGATCACCCCATGCCCCTTGTCTGTGATGCTCATCTTCCCCTCTCTAGATCACCCCATGTCCTTTCTCTCTGATGCCCATCTTCCCATCTCTAGATCACCCCATGCCCCTTGTCTGTGATGCCCATCTTCCCCTCTCTAGATCACCCCATGCCCCTTGTCTGTGATGCCCTTCTTCCCATCTATAGATCACCCCATGCCCCTTGTCTCTGATGCCCATCTTCCCATCTCTAGATCACCCCATGTCCCTTCTCTGTGATGCCCTTCTTCCCCTCTCTAGATCACCCCATGCCCCTTGTCTGTGATGCTCATCTTCCCATCTCTAGATCACCCCATGCCCCTTCTCTCTGATGCTCATCTTCCCATCTCTAGGTCACCCCATGTCCCTTCTCTGTGATGCCCATCTTCCCCTCTCTAGATCACCCCATGCCCCTTGTCTGTGATGCCCATCTTCCCCTCTCTAGATCACCCCATGCCCCTTGTCTCTGATGCCCATCTCCCCATCTCTAGGTCACCCCATGTCCCTTCTCTGTGATGCCCTTCTTCCCCTCTCTAGATCACCCCATGCCCCTTGTCTGTGATGCTCATCTTCCCATCTCTAGATCACCCCATGCCCCTTCTCTCTGATGCTCATCTTCCCATCTCTAGGTCACCCCATGTCCCTTCTCTGTGATGCCCATCTTCCCCTCTCTAGATCACCCCATGCCCCTTCTCTGTGATGCCCATCTTCCCCTCTCTAGATCACCCCATGCCCCTTGTCTCTGATGCCCATCTCCCCATCTCTAGGTCACCCCATGTCCCTTCTCTGTGATGCCCATCTTCCCCTCTCTAGATCACCCAATGCCCCTTCTCTGTGATGCCCATCTTCCCATCTCTAGGTCACCCCATGCCCCTTGTCTCTGATGCCCATCTCCCCATCTCTAGATCACCCCATGCCCCTTCTCTGTGATGCCCATCTTCCCATCTCTAGATCACCCCATGCCCCTTGTCTCTGATGCCCATCTCCCCATCTCTAGATCACCCCATGCCCCTTGTCTCTGATGCCCATCTCCCCATCTCTAGATCACCCCATGTCCCTTTTCTGTGATGCTCATCTTCCCCTCTCTAGATCACCCCATGCCCCTTCTCTGTGATGCCCATCTTCCCCTCTCTAGATCACACCATGTCCCTTGTCTGTGATGCCCATCTTCCCCTCTCTAGATCACCCCATGCCCCTTGTCTGTGATGCCCATCTTCCCCTCTCTAGATCACCCCATGTCCCTTGTCTGTGATGCCCATCTTCCCCTCTCTAGATCACCCCATGCCCCTTCTCTCTGATGCCCATCTTCCCATCTCTAGATCACCCCATGCCCCTTCTCTCTGATGCCCATCTTCCCATCTCTTCATCCCATCTCCCATCTCTTGTCACATTTCGTTTCCAGAGCTCATAATTCCTTTTTCTTAAAGTAACCTGCCTTTAACTGGTTCAGTTTTGTTACCTAAGATTTTATTCAACTATTCTGTTTACATTTTTCATGGCAACAATTTTGACTTGGGTTGGGGATTAGGGATCGTTTCTGGGACAGAATTCATAAACTGTTTCTCATTCTTAATGAAACTTTGCATGCACACAGGTCCAACATTACACAAATATCCCCCACCTTGACAAATGCAGCAAAGAACATGTCGGAGCTCATCTCCTGCACCCTCTTGGACATGTACTTCTTGTCGTTACAGTGGTCAGCCTGCTTGTGCAGCAGACGGTGGTCCTTGCTGGTCTCTTGGCAGTACTCTGAAAATATCACCAATGGCTACAGATTCCCACATCAACACTGAACACATCACCAAGGTGGAGCAAGAAATAGCGAGATACATTTTTCTGGTGGACATAGGCCATGCCGAGTCTGAGCAACATTTACACAAATCTATGATAATTTCAAATGTTTATAATATCTCAACACCTCAGTGACACAACACATTGTTTTGACAGACTTTCTTTATTTCCAATATTATAAAATATGGATGGTATGATTGTGTTTGTTTCATAAGACTGGATGGCATGATCATTTTCTTTTTCAAGAATGGATGATGTGATTGTTTGGTTCCCAAGAATGGATGATGTGATTGTTTGGTTCCCAAGAATGGATGATGTGATTGTTTGGTTCCAAAGAATGGATGATGTGATTGTTTGGTTCATAAGAATGGATGATGTGATTGTTTGGTTCATAAGAATGGATGATGTGATTGTTTGGTTCCCAAGAATGGATGATGTGATTGTTTGGTTCCCAAGAATGGATGATGTGATTGTTTGGTTCATAAGAATGGATGATGTGATTGTTTGGTTCCCAAGAATGGATGATGTGATTGTTTGGTTCCCAAGAATGGATGATGTGATTGTTTGGTTCCCAAGAATGGATGATGTGATTGTTTGGTTCCCAAGAATGGATGATGTGATTGTTTGGTTCATAAGAATGGATGATGTGATTGTTTGGTTCATAAGAATGGATGATGTGATTGTTTGGTTCATAAGAATGGATGATGTGATTGTTTGGTTCCCAAGAATGGATGATGTGATTGTTTGGTTCATAAGAATGGATGATGTGATTGTTTGGTTCCCAAGAATGGATGATGTGATTGTTTGGTTCCCAAGAATGGATGATGTGATTGTTTGGTTCATAAGAATGGATGATGTGATTGTTTGGTTCATAAGAATGGATGATGTGATTGTTTGGTTCCCAAGAATGGATGATGTGATTGTTTGGTTCCCAAGAATGGATGATGTGATTGTTTGGTTCCCAAGAATGGATGATGTGATTGTTTGGTTCATAAGAATGGATGATGTGATTGTTTGGTTCCCAAGAATGGATGATGTGATTGTTTGGTTCCCAAGAATGGATGATGTGATTGTTTGGTTCATAAGAATGGATGATGTGATTGTTTGGTTCATAAGAATGGATGATGTGATTGTTTGGTTCCCAAGAATGGATGATGTGATTGTTTGGTTCCCAAGAATGGATGATGTGATTGTTTGGTTCATAAGAATGGATGATGTGATTGTTTGGTTCCCAAGAATGGATGATGTGATTGTTTGGTTCCCAAGAATGGATGAATTGTTTGTCCCCAAGATGATGATGTGATTGTTTGGTTCCCAAGAATGGATGATGTGATTGTTTGGTTCCCAAGAATGGATGATGTGATTGTTTGGTTCATAAGAATGGATGATGTGATTGTTTGGTTCATAAGAATGGATGATGTGATTGTTTGGTTCCCAAGAATGGATGATGTGATTGTTTGGTTCCCAAGAATGGATGATGTGATTGTTTGGTTCCCAAGAATGGATGATGTGATTGTTTGGTTCATAAGAATGGATGATACAATTATGTTTCATTCATAGGACTGGATGAGTGAGTGAGTTTAGTTTTACGCCACTTTTAGCAATATCAAGGTGGGGAACACCAGAAATGGGCTTCACACATTGTACCCATGTGGAGTATCGAACTGGGGCCTTTGGCATGACAAGTAAACGCTTTAACCACTAAGCTACCCCTTCACCCCAAGAGTAGATGATATGATTGTGTTTAGTTCATAAGAATGGATGATGAGGTGAGGTAGGATGAAATGGGGTTTAACATCTTACTTCAGAACACTTTGCTCACATGACGATGTGCATGCGTGTGTAAGTGTGGCTGCTTGTACTAGCCCACACTTAAGCTGATTTTATAGTGCCAGCTCACTGAGATACCAAGCCACAGTTAAGCATGAATATTGAGTGAGTGAGTGGGTTAAGTTTTACACCACTTTTAGCAATATCACAGCAGGGAACACCAGAAATGGGCTTCACACATTGTACCCAAGTGGGGAATTGAACCCGGGTCTTCAGCGTGACGAGCGAATGCTTTAACCACTTGACTACCCCACCACCCTGTTAACCATGAATACCCCACTCAGACACATTATACTGACTCCAAGCCACCATGCTGTACCCATTAATGCCGAGAGCCAGGCAGGGACCAACAAGTACCACATTTTAACGTCATTTGGTATGATGCGGCCGGGAATCGAACCTGCAACCTTCCGCTCTAACCACTACACCCAGGAGGCAGTCAGAATGGATGATGATTGTGTTTAGTTCACAGAATGGATGATATGGTTGTGACATGCTAGTATAAGCCATGAATCTGATCTTACTCAGAGAGGAGGCCAGCAGTCGGTGCACCAGGACGTCTGCGTAGCGTCGGATGGGGGACGTGAAGTGTGTGTACAGCGGAACGTTGAGTGCGTAGTGGTGGTACACCGCAGGGTCGGCAATCATGCCACTACAGAAATACTTGGCATTCTGAAACACAAGGTGAGTTACAATTAACACTCTGTTAGAAGATTAGAGGAAAGTATGGTCAGAGCAGAAGTCAGGAGTACTCATCAAGCCAGCTCAATGTATTCCTCCATTCTATACCACCACACTTCTGTTAACTTCAGAAACTTACCTGCATAGGTTTAGAGCTGAGAGCCACCAGTACCTGCATTCTCGCTGCCGAGAACTCATCAGTGCCTTGGTAGCTGCTGAGAGATTGCTGCAACAGACATATACAGTCTGGTAACCATGACAACAGGAACTACAGGCAATAAACAATGTTTTAGTTCTATCACTTTCTCAAACTAAGATCTCAGGCTTCAAGCTAACTCTTACTGGGAAGAGTTCTGGGCTTATTTGCAGAAAATATTTACACCATGTGAGCATATAATGTAGAGAAAATGTCATAGCTTGTTGTCAGTCTATCAGGAGATATTTCAAATGCTTGGTCCAAGAGTATTCATGGATGTTGTTTAAAGGTAAACATGAGGGTTTAGTGCTAAAGTAGATTGCTAGATCATGACACCAAGCCGTTGACTGCATGCATCATTAGTCTATGCGTGAAGTCACTTGTTTTTCAAGGTCCTCCCTTCATTGTGTACTTCAGAAAGGGTCAGAGTGAATATCTTCCACCATGGACAAGCAGTAAGAAGTCACGATTACTTCCAGTGACTTAAAGGTCTAAATGATCATGGACAAAGATTGTGTCTGTTGTGTCCACTTTATATTCAAACACTGTATGAAGAAGTGTGTTTGTGTGTGCAGCCAGCAGACACACCTACCTGCCATGTCTGACTGTTGGACAGGTCGACCGCCAACCCCAGCTGCTCACACAGGTCTTTCTGAAACACACCAGTCACGCTGTTTAACACAAATAACATGAACAATCTGTGAGAGAAGGTGAATATACACTGTCCAAGTTTGGCAATTTAATAATATCTGATTGATATGCAAGTACAACTCAAGCCAGGTATTATGACTTTATTGAGGTGGGCTTGTTGGATCCTTTTTTCTCAAGAACAGGACCCGCATGCCGCATGCCACATAGGCTTCAGTCACACCAACTGTCCACCCACTACACACAAGCTGTCCACCCACTACACACAAGCATACAGAATGGATGCAGACAAACATAACACTGTGTCCTGAAGGATGCACAATGATATTCATTGAACAAACTTCTTGACAAGAAATATGAGGTTCCTGTAATTAATATAACGGCTCTGTACACTACACTATTTCACCTCTCTACGAGACCCTCATACTTCCTGTAAGAACCCTTGAAATAAGCAGCTGGGACTCCTATGGTATTACACTGAGATGTATCGAGGACTTACCAGGTCATCCACCATCTTGGACTGTGGTGGAGGGTGGCGTCGGAGCACAGCCTTTTGTGGGTAGCTGTCGTTATATCTTGTGGGCCACCGCCATATTAGCCAATAGCATGAACTCCTCGATCAACCTGGAAGTAATCAAATGTTTTCAAAAGATCTTTTCTCCGTATAAACCAATCTCTTTATGCAAACACCATGTGAAATATACTTGATGAAGCAGTTAACCAGTCACTACTACTCCATCAAAGACAACAGTTCCTTGACCAGAACTGCACTAGCCTCTGAATGTTGTTTTCCTGGACCAGAACAACATGAGATACAACATGTTTCAACTGTCTGGGCAAAACAACACATACATCCACAGAACTACAGAAAAGTCAAAGAATTTGTAAATTTCATTTAAAACTAATTTTTGTTCTCACTTTCACGAAACAAAGAAGTGGAATCTCAATAGGGGGTGACTTGAGAATGACCTTTCACCTTTGACTGACCAATGAAATGACTAACAAGAAGTCAATATTAGTTAACCAGAAAATAGCTCTCTTGAGCTATATGTCGATAGTTTTAAACCTTCATTTCCATACCAGACTATGCTTTGAACAGAACTGATTCAAAATTTGAACATGGAACAAAAGAAAATTCTAGAATGTCTGTCACTTTCCCATCTGGCAAGCAGTGCTCTGATTGGTCGAATGATAAGTCATTCTGCTGTAAGACTTAATGGGATCTTTGGCCAGCAGCAGCAAAATCTATGCTCTGATTTTAATGAGACTGATCTGCTTTCAACTTCAACAAAATTACAATTGTGGTGAAATGTTGTACTTTCATAGTCACTCACTCATTGTAACTACCCTATAGTTTCAGTCACCTACTATGGTGTCCATATAGAAGAGGGTTCTCCACGTTCCACCTGACACCATCAGACATCTGTCTGCCATCTACCTGCTGCTGTAACTACCCTATAGGTTCAGTCACCTACTATGGTGACCATATAGAAGAGTTTTATCCATATATAGGTTCAGTCACCTACTATGGTGACCCCACCTGACACCATCAGACATCTGTCTGCCATCTACCTGCTGCTGTAACTACCCTATAGGTTCAGTCACTACTACCATATGAGTTTTATCCATACCTATACCTGCTTTAACTTATTCCACCATCTACCTGCTGCACCTATGGTGACCATATAGAGAGTTTTATCCATATCCCACCTGACACCATCAGACATCTGTCTGCCATCTACCTGCTGCTGTAACTACCCTATAGTTTCAGTCACCTACTATGGTGACCTACTATATATAGAAGAGAAGACAGTTTTATCCCCTATAGGTTCAGTCACCTACACCTGTTTTATCCATACACCATCAGACATCTGTCTGCCATCTACCTGCTGCTGTAACTACCCTATAGTTTCAGTCACCTACTATGGTGACCATATAGAAGAGTTTTATCCATATCCCACCTGACACCATCAGACATCTGTCTGCCATCTACCTGCTGCTGTAACTACCCTATAGTCACCTTAAACATTTACCTGTTGCTATCTTTCTGCTCGTAAACAGAGTAGCCATTGGGCATCCCAGAATCCTTGTCAAGGGAAAAAGTCAGCTTCACTTGGTCCAGACGCAGAGCACCACTGTCAAACCGCTTCTTCCGCAAGCACTTGGCAATCTGGAAAATAAATTATTGTTATATACTCGTCTTAATTCTCTTGACTAACAGATGTGTATCAGATGCCAGATCCGAGTGTCTAGCAGTAATATCCTACCTTATCAAGCTGCAGCACTCGCTTCCGGATGTCTTCAACCACAAACCCATTGGTGATGGGAGGTAACTCTTCCTGGCTCCACTCACGATCTGGATTCTCTATGAACCCCTGCAATCAATTTATCACAAAAATGCTTTTACTTTGCCATTTCCCATTATCAAGAAAGAAATGTATCACTGACAAGGTGAAAGTATATGCTGAAGAACATATTTAAAATCTCTGAAAGCAGACATTTCTGTAGTATTCATAGTGCTGTTGAATGGTTCAATGTTTAACTATTTTCAATTGATTTTCTAATATTCTTCTTCATTTCAGATCATGAAAATGCCAAATTGCAGTCTTAACAGAATGACAGGAGGAGCTATTAGGAGTCTTTCCACAGTAAACATCAGCACACGTTTTTACCAGGGGTCAAAGGGTCATGTACTTGCATCAAGAAGGAGGACCCTCCAGGAGAGCCTGTCAGACACTGGCCCTCACCTCCACTACACAGGCAATAACTGTTCTGGCTTTGACACACTTGTGAAACTGGCTACAAGACTGGTCCATCATTCACAGATGTCACACAATGTAAGACTGTGAAACTTCTGCTGGACCATCCTCACCTAATGTTCCTCAAACTATTTGTTTGAAGCAGAGCTCCAGATAAGCTTTAGCTCATGTGGGTACTGTACCCACTCTATTTTATTGGAGTGGATATTGTGAATGTTGAGTGGGTATTTTATTTTCCTTTACCCACTGCTTTCAAATATGTGCGTATTTCAGTCATTTTACTCACCTAAGTATTATGTCATTGAATAAGTTTACTAAGCAGGTATGTTCTGCCTTATGTCATACCTAATCGAAACCAATTTAAATATAATGGAAACGATTTCATAAAAAATCACTTATCCTGTACTGACAGTACAACACTAATCCTATACTAACAGTACAACTTGATAGCAATCGATGTCTTTTTCATTATGCAAGGGAATTTTATAAATATATTCCGTACGCATTTGTTTTAAACTTTTTGCTTATCTAACATTTTAAATGCGTAATTGGTACGCAACAATTATTTTTCAATGCGTAGTTGGAAATTTTCTATGCGTATCTTACCCGGATACGCAGCTTATCTGGGCCTCTGGTTTGAAGTTCAGTTTCCATCACAACTATATGCGAAAAAGTATTTTCTGTCATTGCTCCCTACTGTAAACAAATAATGTGATGCAACACAGAGTCAGGCTAGTATCTAATAGGGTCTAATATGTGGTTTCTAATATGGAACCTAATCTTTTATTTTGTAAATATGATAGCCATATATATAAACAAATCAAAAGCCTGTGAGGAGGTTGTGAAGACATCATAGCTGACATTTCTGGGAAAGTATCAGCTCTGGAGGCCTGAAGGATTGAACAGACCTGATAGACAGACAAGAACATTATTTAGATTGAAGGACAGCCAATGAACAACAACAAGAGATGACTTGAATTTGATTCAGGGGAGCTAACTATACAAGCAAGGGAAACAACTCCTTACTAGACAATGTAATTTGATGTACCTGTGCATGATCATAGCTCAGCTTCACACAGGACCTGATGACAGTCCTGCCAAACCATTCATCTTCTATCTGGAACAAAACAGACTTTCCATAACTCTCTTAAACTCTCAAAGGTGACCACAATAACAAATACAAAGTGAATGAACAAGATGTGAGCGTCTGTACAAAGATGTGAGCATCTGTACAAAGATATGTGTCTGTACAAGATGTAAGTGGTTGTTCAAAGATTTGAGTGTCTGTACAAAGATGTGCACCTGTACACAGATGTGAGAATCTGTACAAAGATATGTGCCTGTACAAGCTGTAAGTGGTTGTTCAAAGATTTGAGTGTCTGTACAAAGATGTGTGTCTTTGCAAGATGTGCGTGATCATATACCTCGCCATTGGCATCCATTGTCCAGATGACAGAAAAGGTCAGCCTGTCCTGGTCTGGGTTCAAGCTGCAGAGTTCCTCACAAAGCAGTCGTGGCAACATTGGTACCACCTACAACATGAACAACACTCTGTAGTCGTGGCAACATTGGTACCACCTACAACATGAACAACACTCTGTAGTCGTGGCAACACTGGTACCACCTACAACATGAACAACACTCTGTACACACAGCTCAATGACTGACTTACTTTCTGGACCAAGTACACACTGGCAGCCTGACTTACTTTCTGGACCAAGTACACACCAGTGGCCTGACCGACTTACTTTCTGGACCAAGTACACACTGGTGGCCTGATTGACTTACTTTCTGGACCAAGTACACACTGGTGACCTGACTGACTTACTTTCTGGACCAAGTACACACTGGCAGCCTGACTGACTTTCTGGACCAAGTACACACTGGTGGCCTGACTTACTTTCTGGACCAAGTGCACACTGGCGGCCTGACTTACTTTCTGGACCAAGTACACACTGGCAGCCTGACTTACTTTCTGGACCAAGTACACACTGGTGGCCTGACTTACTTTCTGGACCAAGTACACACTGGTGGCCTGACTTACTTTCTGGACCAAGTACACACTGGTGGCCTGACTTACTTTCTGGACCAAGTACACACTGGTAGCCTGACTTACTTTCTGGACCAAGTACACACTGGTGACCTGACTGACTTACTTTCTGGACCAAGTACACACTGGCAGCCTGACTGACTTTCTGGACCAAGTACACACTGGTGGCCTGACTTACTTTCTGGACCAAGTACACACTGGTGGCCTGACTTACTGTCTGGACCAAGTACACACTGGTGGCCTGACTTACTTTCTGGACCAAGTACACACTGGTGGCCTGACTTACTTTCTGGACCAAGTACACACTGGTGGCCTGACTTACTTTCTGGACCAAGTACACACTGGTGGCCTGACTTACTTTCTGGACCAAGTACACACTGGTTGCCTGACTTACTTTCTGGACCAAGTACACACTGGTGGCCTGACTTACTTTCTGGACCAAGTACACACTGGTTGCCCGGCTGGCTGCCTTTATGTCCAGAGGTGTTCCTTCCTCCAGGAAGAAGCTGACATCAGCTATGTGCACCCCAACTTTTAAGCAGCCTACACACAGGAAGAAATACATCCATGTTTTAATGACTAGAGACTTATGATGAGGTCTTTTGAGGTTCATCTTTAGTGTTATTGAATAATTGCCATGCCATGTAAATAGAGAATACTAAACGATGTCCCGATGTATAATACCATATTTATGAAACGAGTGAACGGTTTGGTATCTAACGAGCGAAAACGAGTTAGATACCACTACCATTCACGAGTTTCATAAATTTGGTATTACACGGGACATAGTTTAGTATTTTATTTATTACTCAACCAACATTAGCAAAATAATTTCGAGCGAAGTACTTCTGTCCTAAGAATTCAACGAGTGTGATGACTCTCAGCTTTCCGCGAATCAAGCAAGGTCTAGTACCTTTGTGAAAGAGGTATTAGCATTGTGATGTCATAACTGTAAACCACTTTAACGTCATACGTATGGCATCACGCGATGTTATTACACAATACACCATATTACACAATATGTAATAACATTGTAAAATTATTAAACAGTGACTTCTTCAATGGGTGAGTAATAATTTGGTTTTCTTTACCCCCTCTACTAAATGGGAATATATCAGTGAGTTTTGTTTATCATTGGTTATAATATACTTTCAGTTACTTTCAGCTTGTCATCCCTATGCAGGAGGAACAACAAAGGACACAGCCTGTAGACAGTCACCACTTGAGTGAACATGAGTTGGCTATCATGAAGAAACCAAGGATGAAAATCAGCTCAACTTGAATTGCAATCCAGAACTTGTGGATGCTGGCACTGTCTTTGATCATTCAGCGACTTTTGCTGCTCATTAGGGATAAGCTTGGAAAAGGCTCTCAAATAGAAAACCATCATGAATAAGCATCCGTTGAAACTAGCTACATTCATGAGTGAAGCATCATATTCACTGCAACACAACACACGCCCTAGGAGTTCCAGATTTCACACCATTACTTACCATTCTCAAGTTCCTCTATAGACACAGCATCATCCAGATCTCTGGCAGTTGCTGGATCTATTGTGAAGATACACTGTCTCCGTAAATCGTTCCGATATTCAAATTCAGATTCTGGAATAACCCATGGGGAGGCAGGTAGACATGTCAGCACCTGTAACATCATCAACATCACATCTTGATGTCGGAGTATACTGTGTGGACATACTGTCAGTTTGAAAAGTCAGCAATGACAGCCATAACATTTATAATCAAATAGAACCAAATCTAATCATTGCATGGTATCAACAGTTTACACAGTGTGGCAGTAGCAGAGTACATCTTCCCTCAGGTTTGAGACAAAGAGAGTCCACAGTATAGTGACTTACAGAAAAACTGATATGATTCAGTTACAAAGTCAGGAACTATTTCTGTTACCTTGTGCAGGGTGTGCAAACAGTAATGTTTTGAACAAACGTGGATCTCAATATTATCATCATATTCACAAAACAGTTCTCTATGGTTTCTCCAAGAACAAGATCTGTAAATATATTTTTTTATAAAATTAGATTTAATTTAGATTTAGATTATAGTGCATGCTTACAATAACTTATATATAAGAAGATAAGAAGTCTTCAAAAGAACAGATTGATGAAATGGGCTTCACACATGGTACCCATGTTGGGAAAAGAACCTGAGCCTTACACCATGATAAGCAAATGCTTTAATGACAATGCTACCACGACACCCTTATCAGCTGAAGAATATCCTGCATGACCTGCCCAGCTTTACCCACTGGACAAGCCCACCAACCCCGTCTTTTGTTTGGTTTTGGGATGGTTTTCAGGACACACTGTGTGAGTCTAAATCCAGAACACCAACCTCTTCTGGAAAGTCATCCGACTCCACATTATGTTCAAGAAGTATGGCCTCAGTCTCTGGCTCGATCTGGCCAGCTTCTCCCAGGCTCCCGGGACAGGTGTCTAGAAGAAGTAGAACACTGATGCAAGCTGGCAAGCATGGTCAATGTTTCTAACAAACTCTGACAATCATTTGAAATAGTTTCAAGCCAAAGCTGTTTTGGTTAGTAATTCAGGACAACGGGTCTCTTTGCCATGCATTACCCCCACTTTTGTCCTGAACGTTTATTAAATGACCATTAAAACTCTTGTGAAAACAGGTGAAAATGAACTGCGCACCCCACCTTTCTCAAAAAGCTGTATCCGCCCCTGCCTATTGCTGAGCAACCCCACATCTCAGATTGCAGCGTAAATGTCATGGAAACCCCTGACCCCAGCTCACCACACCAGGTGTGTTGATATAGCATGACCAGAAATTATTGAGAATTTCAGGAATATGTTTAATTGGATTTCTAGTATAAACAACCTTGACCAGCTATCAAGTGCTTGGTTTCATTCAAGAGAGACAACTCCGTTAATCCTTTTTCATTAGTTTGTGAAGAGTTATCCACCTTTGTTTACTTGCTAGCAGACGACATTTTCAGTGATCCTCAGTATGGATGATTTAGAGGAGAGGAAGTTGATTTTAGAGTATTATAACAAGGACATCAGATTAGCTAAAGTGATTTCAAGTAGAAAAGGCATCCCTTTGTCCATTGTTTATCGTATTTTGAAAAATATTGCAAATGGATATGGCATTGAGCACCAGGGAGGCGTAGGTAGGCCCAGAAAATTGACTGTCGGTGACAGGAGGCGGCTTGGTATTCTTGTTTCTAGACACAAACGAAGGAGTTTAGAAAACTTAAGGCTGGATATGATTGATAGAGGAACTGTGGTTGTCTGTTAGGGGATAATTAGAACTGAGCTGCATGCAGTGGGTTGGCAGAAAAGTCGAGGAATTTCATCACCGATCATGAAACCTGAACAAAAGGAGCGAAGGTTGAACTGGTGCTTACAGCATAGAAATTGTAACTGGGACAGTGTGATTTTCTCAGATGAAAGTTCTACGTGGCTGTTTCCTAATACACTGAAATTCTGGACCAAACAAACTGAAAAACCTTTGTATCAGCGTTCAAAGTACAGTGCGAAATTTAACGTGTGGGGTGGCATATCTGTGTTAGGGGCAACGCCCCTCTGTGTATTTAAAGGGAATATTAACAGTGAGTGGTACACAGATGTTCTCGAGGGACATTTACTTCCATCTGCTCACGTGTTCTATGGAAATTTTTGGATTTTCCAGCAGGACGACCAAAAACATCGTTCAAACCATTCACAGGCCTGGTTTCGAACCCAAAACATGACATTATTAGATTGGCCAAGCTATAGCCCTGACCTAAATCCAATGGAAAATGTTTGGGGACTTATGAAGGAAAGTGTCAATAGGAAAAATCTGACAAATATCACTGAAAAGAAAGAAGAGGTGGTCCAATATTGGGACAGCATGGACCACGACTTTCTAACTTCTTTGATCAGTAGTATGCCCCGCCACATTGAAGCCTGCATTGCTGCCCATGGTGACTTGACAAGATACTAACTGTTCACCTGTCTTTGAATCTGCTAATATTCACATTTAATACCTGAGTAATGAGTGATTTTTTTTTTTTAAATTACAATTTAGCTAAACCTGTAGAGGTTTCCAATTCTTTGAAGAGAATCGTCCTTGGGGTACATATATGCATTTTCTGCGGCTGAAAATGTCATGTGACAGTTGTATCAATGTTTTAATAAAAATATTGTACAATAAATAAAAATCTTTTTTATCTATTATACAGCCCTTCTCTTCAAAGAATTGGAAACCTCTACAGGTTTAGCTAATTCCTTTTCATAGAGATCGTCCTTGGGGTACATATATGCATTTACTCAGACTCCCAAAGACCGGAGGCTACGGAGGAGGGAATTCTGTCAAAGTACATATAAATAGCGACCGTTAGGAAGAATGTAACAGATGCCACAACACTCACCTGTCATGTGTCCCGAAGCTTCCGCGAGAGGCATGAATGGAGGGTAACCGACAGGGAGGAAAGTACTGAGACCTGACCTCACAGGTTAAGCAAAGCAAAGCGCACACAGTGCGAAAGTAAAAAACCCTGCCCACATCGTGAATCTATTTAAGAGCACCGTAAGGGGGAAAACCAACTCACAACCGACCATAATCTCATGAGAGAAACTCACAAAAACTCTCATACTTGGACTAAATCCTCAGAAAAGGGATCTGCGATCCCCCTATCTGAACACCAGCGCGCATATTGAACGTTTGTCGAATCCCGCCCCGAAGCCAGAATTGTGTCTGCAACTGCTGCAGGAATTCCGCGTGCTTCGAGGCTAGACCTGACAGAGGCCAAGTGACCCACTGAATCCTTGGATTGGGGTATGGCGCGCCGTTCTGAGTGAGAATGTCCGGTCGCAAAGGTAATAGAACAGGAGGCTGAGCCAGAAACCTGAGAATTACCAGAAACCAGCTCTGTGACGGCCATAGCGGTGCCAGTAGCACAAGTAGCCGAGCTGGCTGGGTGGACAGCTGGGCGAGGACCCAGGGAATGAGTGGTAGAGGCGGAAACGCCCACAGCACCTTGCCCGACCAATCCAGCAGGAAGGCGTCAGAAGCCAAAGCCCTCTTATCCGGTATTCGAGAGCAGAACACGGGTATCTGATTCGTCCCGCTGGACGCACACAGATCCACCTGGAACGATCCGTACAACGGGTAGATAACTCTGAATATCTGCCGGTCGAGCATCCACTCGTGCGGGGCCAGGATCCGGCGAGAGAGAGCGTTGTTCTCCAGCCCAGGGAGATAAACAGGAATCACCTGACAGTCGCACTGGTCGCACCAGAGGAGAAATTCCCACGTCTCCCGAAGGAGCGTTAGGGACACCGTGCCCGCCTTGCTTCAGGATGTACGTCATGGCCGTACAGTTGTCCAACTGAAGACGAACCACCTGGCCCTGAACATGCTCCCGGAAGCGCTCGAAAACCAACCGCACAGCTCTCAGTTCTAAGACGGTGATGTGAAGGCGGGCTACGGCTTCGGACCAGAGTCTGGACACCGACAGACTGCCCAGAACAACCCCCCATCGGTTTGAACTGTAAGAGCTGGCGTCGGGATTTCCAAAGGGACCCCCTTGGAGAGATTCCCGACATTGGTCCACCACTGTAGGTGGAGAGACAACCACCCAGGGACTGTGAGACACTGCTCCAGATCCTCCGAGTGAGCCCACAGACGCGCCAAAGCTTGCTGTATAGGGCGCATCCTCAACCGCACCCGTCACACTACAGAGATAGTTGCCGCCATATGACCCAGTAGACAGAGCCAAGTCCGCGCTGGTGCCTGGGGCTGGGAAAGGAACGAAGACACCATCTCCCGTACTCTGGTGACCCGGTCGGGCGACAAAGAGACAAGACCCTTGTGAGTTGTGAACCACGGCCCGAGAATAAACAATTCCTGGGTGGGTACCAGGTCGGATTTCTTGAGGTTTATGATCCACCCCAGCTGAACTAGAATGTTTATCACCGTGTGGGTAGAATCTAGGCTCACTGGCTGAGTTAGAGCGCTGAGCAACCAGTCATCTAGGTAAGGGTAACAACGCTTTCCTTGCGACCCTGCGAGGGTAGCCGGCACTAACATGAGCTTGGTGAACACCCTGGGGTCAGTGGATATGCCGAAGGGGAGCACAGTGATTTGTTAATACATCCCGTCGTAAGAGAACCGGAGGTACTGTTTGAACGATGGATGAATTGGCACATGTAGATACGCATCCTTTAGGTCGATCGACATAAGCCAATCGCCGGGCTGAACAGGGGTGATCACCGAGCGAAGTGTCTCCATCTTGAAGGATGGAACCTCTAGCATGCGATTCAACCCCTTGAGGTTGAGAATTGGACGGAATCCGTCGTCCTTCTTCGTAACGAGGAAGTACGTGGAATAAAACCCCGCCTGTTCCTCACCCGGTGGTATGCACTCTATTGTGGACTTGTCCAGCAAAGCCTGAACTTCGTCTCGCAGTATACCCACCTTGACCGGACATGACGTCACCGGAGTGCGACGTATGCTGGTGAACTCTGGCGGGCCTCGCTTCCACAGTGGTAGATGGCCGACACTGACGGTGGATAGCACCCAAGTGTTGCTGGTAGCCTTCTCCCACTCCGGCGGCCCCCCACTGGGACGTGTGGTAAGAGTGCGTGAGTGGTCCCCTGCAGATGAACTGACTTGGACGGACCCACGGGGACAGCCTGCAGGTTTAACGAGAGGTTGGGGCAGACCCCCCCGACCGCGAAAAGGCTGCTGGGAGCCAGACGAAGAGGCCTGCTCCTTGCCCTTACCTTTGGCGGGACAGCTCCTCCTCCTACCTCTACCCAGCGGCCGAAGCCAGCCGGCAGAATCAGGCGTAGGCTGCACCCCGGAGGAAGAACACGCTACGGGAGCACGGGAGCGAGAAACCCGCGATTGCTCCAACAAGGCCTTAGAATCATTGAAGGAGGTAGCTGACCTGCTGCGCCCCCGGAAACAATGTCGCTCCCAGCCGAAACGGAAGGGCCAGCAAGGTCTGCTGTGTTGCTGCCGAATAATGGGATGTAGACAGCCACAGCTTGCGCATCCCCATGACTGCGCAGACCGCAAAGAGTCTTGCATCAGGTGGGCCTGCACTTCGGATAATTGGCGAAGCAGAACAATATTCGGGGAAACGTCTCCTGTGCTCCCTTCCGCCTCCAGAGCCAACCTTTGGATAGAGGAAATGTAGGCCTCGTGGACCACTACCCGCACCTGCTGCATGGCATTCCAGTAGACTTCCTTGTAAGTATGGTATGCCTGCTGTAGGGGGGCAATACCATACTCGGCAATACGTTGCCTAACCTCCCGGAGAGCCGACAAGAAACGGAAAATACCCTCCGACTCCTCGACCTCCCCAACCTCCATAGACATGGCATCCGAGCCCGAGTCAGAATTCGGGTCTCCACGTGAAGAGGAGCCGAACCCCGACCCGGTGGGAGGCCAAGCCACAGACGCCGTGGGAAGGGAAGAGCCCAAGGAACTCTCCGCTCCGGCAACCGACACGACACTCGAACCCCTGTCCCGAGACACAGAAGGAAGCCCGGACAGAACCGGCTCCTCCGCTCTCCTGGGGCTGGGTGGTGCAGGGACTAGAACCCCAGGAATCCTCAAGGGACCCTGCGCCAGCACCAAGAGGGGGACTGGGAGCGAACCCTCCCCCTCCGGGGTAGCCGGGGCATCTGGGCCCGAAGCCAAAGGCAAAGGATCAACAGTCGCCTCCAGGCCAATGGATCGAGCCGGACTCTGCAATCCCACCCCCGGACACTCGGTCCCCCGTTCAGAGTGGGCGAGGAACTCCTGGCGGAGACCTCCAACGGACTCATGAACAAGGGACTTCACGGAGTCCATATGCTGCTGAAACAATTGAGTGATGATTGACATATCAAAACCACTAGATTGGCATTGAGATTGGGAATGCAACTTATGCGAAGACCTAGGTTTAGCTTGTTTAGCCTTTTTGGCTTTGGACGGGGGAATCTCCTGGGTCAGTTCCCCTTCCGCCTCCCGCAATTCCTAATAAAAAAGGAAATCAGCCGCCCTTCTCTTCTGGGGGGGAAATGCCATACACAGTTCGCAGATTTCAGGGTTATGCCCTGCTTTCTCTAAACAGCACAAGCATTTGTCATGCCTATCAGCTCTAGGGATATTCTGCCTGCAGACAGTACACCCAGTAAACGCCTGAAAGCAAACACGCAAGCATGTAGCTAACGGCTGAACACAGCAGCATAAATATACACGTACAAAACATTGAAAATTACGTGAATGCGACCACGCGACATGAAATACTTGGTTAATAACGCAATATGACAACCACGTGGCACGCTAAACTTCCCGCCATGGAATAGCAACACGTGCGTAAACCACGGGAAAGCTAGTGTAAAAATTTAATACAAAATCACATAAATGAGAAATAACAGACTGCAAAGTAAATAAAACTGTTCTTTTTCTTTCTCAAGAACGAATAAAGACCATACATACAGTTGTTGAAGTCTCAGACATTCTTCACAAGAGAAGTAAATCAGCTAGTAACTCGGAACACGTGTGAACGCTTGAGTGACAGCAGAAGGAATGATGATACGGGCCTAGGTGCTTACCTGGTTGGCTGCGCATGCATAGCAGGGAGGTAACTCCACGTGGTGAGGGCCGTATAATAGATGAGAAAAGATTTTTATTTATTGTACAATATTTTTATTAAAACATTGATACAACTGTCACATGAAATTTTCAGCCGCAGAAAATGTATATATGTACCCCAAGGACGATCTCTATGAAAAAGAACTTTAAATTCTCAATAATTTCTGGTTGTACTGTATCTTATCATGTTATACATGTTATCGTCACCTGCCACTGCACAGGTTGGTACTTGGATAATGTTCATGGTGCAGGCTTCTACACTACAGAATAAATCAGTCATGTATGCTGGTCCTTACCCCTTGGCAAACATGGAGTTGTCCCACTCTGTGATTCTTGCTATGAATAGCGTCTTGGCATGGTCATCAGGACGCTCAAAAAAATCTGTACAAAGATTGAAAAATTATAAATAGTTGGAACACATTGTTAATCCTGACATTGAACACGAGATGACATTGAACATATCTGTGCAAGGACCATGTTTATCTTCATTCAACACAAACTATTAATGAAACCTCACAGAACTGACTGAACACGTCAACAATCACCCGTACTGAATACGTCAACAATCACCCATACTAAACACTTCAACAATTACCTATACTGAACACGTCAACAATCACCCATACTGAACACGTCAACAATCACCCATACTGAACAGGTCAACAATCACCCATACTGAATATGTCAACAATCACCCATACAGAACACGTCAACAATCACCTCTACTGAACATGTCAACAATCACCCATACTGAATAAGTAAACAATCACCCAAAAGCATACACACAAAATGCCCTTTACCTGGAAAAAAATAATTTATTGCCCCAATTTACAAACTCAGTCTTAAGTAGCTTCATGAAACTTCAGTAGTTTCTGAAAATATTTGTCCCCATTCAGACACTGAGTCTATCACTGAATATGCCCGAGATTAAAGAAATGTGTAGCAAGGGAAGTAATGATGGGAATAACATAAGGTTTCGGTCAGATTTCATTAATGCAACTTGTGTAGTTCCTGAGAAAAGGACACAAAGACAGACAAATGAAGCCCTTACCTTTGGGACAATCTGACATGGGCACCTGTATGCGGGGTACTCTGGAGTCTGACGGTGAGAAGAGCGCCACCTCTCTGTTCCGGTCCTGCATCAATTTGATATGGCCACTACACACACGGGAGTGCTTAGCCTCGATGACAGCCACGACCTGCAAACACATCAGTATATTTGGAATGTCATGATACAGGTGCCTCATGATATAATACACATCGCGATACTGAGGTCACGATGCGATACTCAAGGCAATACTGCATTTTCTACATGTTACATGAAACAAGCAGCCATCACCTGGATACAGAGTGTGAAATCCATCCAAAGGTGACAAAGAGACACTAAATTAAGTGGGTTCTCAAACTCAAAGTGTTTTGAGATGGGCTATGGTCACAAGCATGGTCTGGCCTTATCCAATCATATTTGGCGCAATGTAGTTTATTAGGGCAAAAAGTAAAGCAAGCAAGACTTCTTGTCAGGGCGGTCTCCTATTTGTCATAGGACCAAATAGATTACAAACAGACTTTAGTAAAACTAAAATATATATGACACATTGATGAAACATTAAAATACTAATCGATATTCGACAAAATTTGAATCGATAACAACACAAATGAATTGTGTATCATATCGTACTACAGTTCATAGTCACACAACACTACCCCCACCACTGCCCCGACCTGACAACACAACAGTATATAGTCACACAACACTACCCCCACCACTGCCACAACCTGACAACACAACAGTATATAGCAACACAACACTACCCCCACCACTGCCATGACCTGACAACACAGCAGTATATAGCGACACAACACTACCCCCACCACTGCCACAACCTGACAACACAACAGTATATAGCAACACAACACTACCCCCACCACTGCCTCGACCTGACAACACAACAGTATATAGTCACACAACACTACCCCCACCACTGCCACGACCTGACAACACAACAGTATATAGCAACACAACACTACCCCCACCACTGCCATGACCTGACAACACAACAGTATATAGTCACACAACACTACCCCCACCACTGCCACGACCTGACAACACAGCAGTATATAGCGACACAACACTACCCCCACCACTGCCACAACCTGACAACACAACAGTATATAGCAACACAACACTACCCCCACCACTGCCCCGACCTGACAACACAACAGTATATAGCAACACAACACTACCCCCACCACTGCCCCGACCTGACAACACAACAGTATATAGCAACACAACACTACCCCCACCACTGTCCCGACCTGACAACACAACAGTATATATAGTCACACAACACTACCCCCACCACTGCCACGTCCTGACAACACAACAGTATATAGCAACACAACACTACCCCCACCACTGCCCCGACCTGACAACACAACAGTATATAGCAACACAACACTAACCCCACCACTGCCATGACCTTACAACACAGCAGTATATAGCAACACAACACTACCCCCACCACTGCCACGACCTGACAACACACACAGTATATATAGCGACACAACACTACCCCCACCACTGCCACAACCTGACAACACAACAGTATATAGCAACACAACATAACCCCACCACTGCCATGACTGACAACACAACAGTATATAGCTACACAACACTAACCCCACCACTGCCACGACCTGACAACACAGCAGTATATAGCGACACAACACTACCCCCACCACTGCCACGACCTGACAACACAACAGTATACAGCAACACAACACTACCCCCACCACTGCCACGACCTGACAACACAACAGTACATAGTCACACAACACTACCCCCACCACTGCCACGACCTGACAACACAACAGTACATAGTCACACAACACTACCCCCACCACTGCCACAACCTGACAACACAACAGTATATAGCAACACAACACTACCCCCACCACTGTCACGACCTGACAACACAACAGTATATAGGTACACAACAATACACCACCATTGAGACGACCAGTTTTGTCAAGTGTACCATCGCATTTAACAGATAATCACTTAATTCTCAAATCCACACAATAGTATACTATATCATCTATTAGTCAACAAGACAACAAACTCTCACCTTCCCTGTTTTCTGCAGCAACTTGCCTCTGTCAACAGCATCTCCCTGGTCCCCCGGCCCGCCCATCAGGGCCTTAGCCACGGGGCTTCCCTGGGTCATCACTTCTTTCAGTGATGTGTACGTCTTGTGTGGAGTAGCATCCTTCTTCTTGTGGCTATCACTGTCTTTGGCTTCTGTCAATGTGTCAATAAATCAATAAGTCAATATGCATGGTGATTGATTAAAGTTATTAGAAGGGCGAAGATAGGGTCAGAAGAGAGATTCCTCTCAACCTCATGTGTACATATTGTACCCCTGAGTCCCTGGTGCTCGGCACAAAGTAATCAGTGCTTTAAGTTTGACACTGAAAATAACAGCAAGGCTTTCACATTCAAAAAGCAGGACAAATACATCAGATACCCAGAATAACATTAAGAAAAATTAGGGAGATAGTTGTCAGCAATTCTGGGCATCACTTTCAGGCAGAGAACACACATGTGTAAATGCCAGATAACTTACAAATAGAATATCAATTCAATATCAAATATCAATATGAAGAACAAATTAAACCTTTGGTGGTTTGAACAACTTCTTCCACAACAACATCCGGCCCTGAATCACTGCCATCACCTCCTGCCACATCTCCTTCCCCTTGACCCTGATGTGGCTTCACCTTGGCCTCCAGGTTTTCAAGGTCAGCTATATAGACCTTCAACATATACAGAATGACACAAGTTCAAAGTTCTGCATTTGAACACATGCTGGACACATGCTGGACACATGCTGAAAACAAGTTCATGACCTAACAGCACTTACAGAAATAGGCTCTCAATGTATATGGAGCAGTGAAAATTTCAGCATAGAGTAAACTACATTTATAATCAAAATGCTTATTACGAACTGACAAATATAACGAAGTGGGTTTGGCTCTCCTCTCCACTTGTTGTACATTATAGTCAAAATGTATACAATGAACTACTGTTGTAACAGACTACAATTCATTTTTTATCTGTGAACAACAGTCTGTACCATAAATTGTGGGATGCCTAATGAGGCATATTTATAATTAGATAAAGAGGCGTCACCAAAAGAATGCATGAATGTTGGAACTGGAGACACCCTAAACAAACAACCTTCACCTTCCAGTCTTGTTCGTCCAGAAGCTGCACAGCTACGATGTCACCATTCAGGGCTCGATTCCGATTGTGCAGACCAGAAATATAGATATCAGCTGTCCCATCCTGCCAAACAACATACAGCCAGTTGTAATTTCCGAGTTTTCAATATTCTCTATACATGTTGTAGCTGTCTATTATTGGGACACATCTTCACATTGTTGTTGCTACATATTGTAGCTGTATATAATGATGACGCAACCACACACAGTTGTTGCTACATGTTGTTGTTGTTGTTGTTTATTTTGGGAAACATCCACACAAAAATTGTTCATGTATATTGTAGTTTATTATGGGGACACATCCACACACAGTTGCTGGTACATGTTGTTGTTTATTTTGAGAAACATCCACACAAAAGTTGGTGGCCATGAGTGTGGTCACATTACTTACAGGCAGTGGAACATAAGCTTCTGAATAATTCTTCTGGTTTACTCTGATCGGCCCCTGAAACAATGTTAATTAAACAAAAATCTTCATTGTGGTGATGTTCACTGTACATATAGCAAGAAGGGAGAGAGAAATAGTCAGTGATAATGCATACAAACAAACAGGACTATCAGGCACAGGCCCTAGTGTCTTTGCGAGGATTAATGATTAAAAAAATATTGTTTTTGAGATGACCCCCGACTCGAAATGCTTCACAGTACAATACATCATGACAAGGCCGAACACTTTGGTGCACCCCACCCGACAGCTTTGCCGATGGCTACACTACCATCGCATGCAATCGATTAAAACTTAATGTAAACATAATCATGGATGATTGGCCTATCGAGCACCACTCGTTATTTCTGCAAGTCGATTGAAACCCGATTTTGTGTCAGCAGCCATTTGTGTCAGGATCGTTTTGTTGAGGGTCACAAACATGGCTATCAAACCAGCCCATTTTCATCTCACACAATTTGTGAAGCTTAATTTTATATGTCATAAAATGTTTATTCAGAAGAATATATAACAATCATCACCTGAATGAAGTTCACTTCAGTGAAGAGTTTTTAAACATTTTGGTTTGACTTCCCAAACAGGAATTGTTACACTAAATCACATCTGAACATATGCACGTATACCCCTTACTCATCCCTCACTATCACAAGCACCAGCCCACAAGCACCCTACAAGCACCCCACAAGCGCCCTATATGCACCAGCCCACAAGCGCCCTATATGCACCAGCCCACAAGCGCCCTATATGCACCAGCCCACAAGCGCCCTATATGCACCAGCCCACAAGCGCCCTACAAGCACCAGCCATCAAACACCCTACAAGCACCAGCCGACAAGCGCCCTACAAGCGCCCTACAAGCACCAGCCCACAAGCGCCCTACAAGCGCCCTACAAGCACCAGCCCACAAACGCCCTACAAGCGCCCTACAACTCGTACAAGCACCAGCCCACAAGCACCCTACAAGCACAAGCCCACAAGCACCCTACAAGCACCAGCTCACAAGCACCCGCCCACAAGCGACCTACAAGCACCTGCCCACAAGAACCGGCCCAAAATCACCAGCCCACAAGCGCCCTACAAGCACCAGCTCACAAGCATCCTACAAGTACCTGTCCACAAGAACCCTACAAGCATCGGCTCACAAGCGCCCTACAAGCACCGGCCCACAAGAGCCCTACAAGCACCGGACCACAAGCGTCGGCCCACAAGCACCAGCCCACAAGCGCCCAACAACTAGTACAAGCACCAGCCCACAAGCATCCTACAAGCACCAGCCCACAAGCACCCTACAAGCACCAGCCCACAAGCGTCAGCCCACAAGCGCCCTACAAGCACCAGCCCACAAGCGACCTACAAGCTCCAGCCCACAAGCGACCTACAAGCACCAGCCCGATGCACAAGCACCCTACAAGCACCAGCCCACAAGTGCCCTACAAGCACTGTCCCACAAGCACCAGCCCACAAGCTCCCTACAAGCACCAGCTCACAAGCATCCTACAGGCACCAGCCCACAAGGGCCCTACAAGCATCAGCCCATAAGCACCTGTCCACAAGCACCCTACAAGCATCAGCCCACAAGCGCCCTACAAGCACCAGCCCACAAGTGACGCTACAAGCACCGGCCTACAAGCACCGGCCCACAAGCGCCTTACAAGCACCAGCCCAGAAGCGCCCCACAACTAGTACAAGCACCAGCCCACAAGCACCCTACAAGCACCAGCCCACAAGCACTAGCCCACAAGCGCCCTACAAGCACCAGCCCACAAGCGCCCTACAAGCACCAGCCCATAAGAACTGGCCCATATGCACCGGTCCACAAGCACCAGCCCACAAGCCCCTACAAACACCAGCCCACAAGCACCAGCCCACTAGCACCGGCACACAAGCACCGGCAGACAAGCACCGGCCCACAAGCACCGGCCCACAAGCACCAGCCCACAAGCACTAGACCCACAAGAACATACACATTAACCTCTTATAAAACCTAATTCAGACACGTCCTGCCTAAAACAAGACAAACATTTGATGATCCTATTACATGTATGAAGTCACGATTGCGATAAGAGCTGTCCACCAAATGAACAAGTGTTATGAGTAAAGCTCTTTAAGTGCTGCATACCTCTATCAATGTCCCTCTCTTAAGGCCATCAGCTACTTCTTCTTTGGACAAGTGAGGTTCAAACTTGGCCTGAAATATACAATGTTTAATCCATTTATACTGTCAACTGTGATTTGGAATGATATTTCTTTAAACACTTTGCAAGAAAATATTGCTTACCTGCTTTGGTTTTTTTGTCCATTTTCTCCTGTCCTTCTGTCCCTGATTTTGACGACCTTCACTTGTCTGCTGACCATCAACTGAACTGCCAGTTCTACCTTGACCTTGACCCAAATGTGACCTATTCCTGTTGCCATGACTTTCATTTTCCAGCTGCTGAACATTCTGGCCCATCCTAGAACTTTGGGGGTGGCCTGTCATGGCTCCAGCATGGAAATTAGGGTGGTTCCTCCTTCCAGGATGACCTCTTCTGCTGTGACCTTGATATTGCTGACTATGTTGGTCTTTACCTTGGAAATGTTGACCATGAAATACATTGCCCTGACCATGATGCCCTTGATTTGACCTTGGCGACATTCTATCAGTCCGTCCATGCGGCGGTCCATCTCCAGAATAATGTCTGTGTTCATAGCTCCCACTGTCATTCCTGCTGCCTCTCTTCCCTCTCCTGCTATCTCCACCCCTGCCCCTTGAACCCCCTCTTGTATTAGCTGGCCCCTGGTGAGATCTTCCTTGTGGTGATGGTGCTACCCCTCTGTCCAAATCTACAAGGAATACATTTCAGGCTTGAGACACTGATAATCATCATACATTAATGTCATAATTAAATTTGTTATCATTTGAAATTAATTAAACACACATTGATAAAAAGTTGGTGTAAAAAGTTATGAAATCATGAGTTGTCTTGACAATACGCTATTTTATACACTTTTAAATTTGCAAATTAAGGGAATAAAAAAAGGCACATTTAGGAAGACAACTATATATAGTTGGGTCAACATGGTAGCGTAAGTTAGTTAAAAAAAGAAACCTCTTCCATTAAAATCAGCACTCACAGCAATAATAATCAAATCAGATTTTCAACAAAATAAAACCAATAAGGGGAGTCACATGGCTCCAAACTCAGCTGATTAATTTTCAGACTATGGACAGTGTAAGTAATTCCATTCAAAGATTGAGTGAGTAAGTTGAGTGTTACGCCGCTTTTTGGGCAATATTCCAGCAATATCACGGCGGTGGTCACCAGAAACGGGCTTCACACATTGAACCCATGTGGGGAATCGAACCTGTGTCATCGGCGTGACAAGCGAACGCTTTAACCACAAGGCTTCCCCAACGCCCCCATTCAAAGACTGACCTTTTACGGTTGTCTTCAAGTTTCTTGCCAGTGAGTGGCCCTATGCACTTATTACCCAAACTGAGGCTTGAGTGAATATGTTATTGTTGGAAGCCAGCAATGGTAAATCAGTTAACACATTGGTGCTATCTTGGTTTGTTTCTGTTGTAGAGAAACCACACAACACTTTTTGACATGTCGACATGTGATGATCACAAGGGCACATGTGGACTTGACTGATGACCTCAGAGGCACATGTTGGCAAGTGATGATCTCAGTTGCACATGTGCACATGACTGATGATCACAGGGGCACATGTTGGCATGTGATGATCTCAGTTGCACATGTTGGCATGTGATGATCTCAGTTGCACATGTTGGCATGTGATGATCTCAGTTGCACATGTTGGCATGTGATCACAGGGGCACATGTTCACATGTGATGATCACAGGGGCACATGTGGACATATGATGATCTCAGTTGCACATGTTGACACGTGATGATAACAGGGGCACATGTTGGCATGTGATGATGACCTCAGTTGCACATGTCGACATGTGATGATTACAGGGGCACATGTTGGCATGTGATGATCTCAGTTCCACATGTTCACATGTGATGATCACAGAGGCACATGTTGGCATGTGATGATCACAAGGGCACATGTGGACTTGACTGATGACCTCAGAGGCACATGTTGGCAAGTGATGATCTCAGTTGCACATGTGCACATGACTGATGATCACAGGGGCACATGTTGGCATGTGATGATCTCAGTTGCACATGTTGGCATGTGATGATCTCAGTTGCACATGTTGGCATGTGATGATCTCAGTTGCACATGTTGGCATGTGATCACAGGGGCACATGTTCACATGTGATGATCACAGGGGCACATGTGGACATATGATGATCTCAGTTGCACATGTTGACACGTGATGATAACAGGGGCACATGTTGGCATGTGATGATGACCTCAGTTGCACATGTCGACATGTGATGATTACAGGGGCACATGTTGGCATGTGATGATCTCAGTTCCACATGTTCACATGTGATGATCACAGAGGCACATGTTGGCATGTGATGATCACAGGAGCACATGTGGACATGTGATGATCACAGGGGCACATGTTGACATGTGAGGATCAATGTACTACTTCCCCATGTAAAAGCAACCAAATTGATGGCACTTCCATATGAGCTAACCTACACACATCCAATAACTGGTTAAAACAACTTGTTAAACATGAAAGTACTAAGTTTAAAACTGAAAGCAACCTAAACATCACTAGCCAAACACAACATGTTAGTTAACAAACAAAAAAACAATTATCTTTAATAAGAGTTAGCCCTGTATGTCAGTCAACGAGATCGGCACTACAATTAGAAGCTGAGCTAAACAAAACACATACTTAATACAGGACTGTAGTAAACCACCCATCATTGCCAATACAGGTCCAAATGGAAATGTCACACTTGAGCTATTCATTTCATTACAATAGTTTCTGTAATATATACCAGCCACATGAAGAAACTCTGCACACAGAAAATGCCTTCAGAATTGGAATACAACACAGCAAAGACGAAATGATGTAGACACTTTATAAGCTGAAGTATCGGACCACAACAACATGTCAAAAGAACATGAACAATATCTGTATCGATGACGTCAGAAGTTCAAAATCGAGTAGGGGGTCACACGACGAAGTCACAAAGTCAATAACGGGTATGACCACTGTGTGCGTGAAGCACAGCAGTGCATCGAAGACGCATAGAGGCTACCAAATGAACATTGAAGGCCCGGGGAATGGTCTGGGATGTGATCACTGCCGTCTGGAACCTGTGTCTGAGATGAGTCACCCGAATCCATCTGTCCTGTCTTGGCGTCACTACGTCGTGAACGCCCAAAACGTGGGTGGTCGGCGACGGCATTACTGTTTCGATAACGCCTGACCAATGCAGATATCGTGTTACGATGGCATTGGAAATGTGCTGCCACCTGTTGTTGGCTCTTTCCTGCTTGAACCATTCCAATGGCTTCATGACGCTGAGCAGATATTAATCTTAGCATGATGTGCATGTGACTTCTCATGTGAATTTGTGAACATTTGAATGTCAAAAGATCAAGCTTTAGACAGTGACAGCAATTTCAGAGTTTCACATGTTGTGTGCAGCTGCACGTGCAGTAACACATTGCAAGGCCATAGGCCACCGTCAATGACATCACATCGCCTGGCATGTGCATGAGCGTTTGATTGTCTCCAATACTTGCTATGTTCACAAATGTATTTATGTATAAAGACGCTGTGTGCCTATATTTATATTTTCTATATGCACAGTTTCTTTATGTGGCCAGTAAATTATTGATATTCAATTTTCATTTTGGTAGTCATTAATAATCTTCTCAACAATATTTCCAATTAGCCATCCCTGTATATTCTCCATATCCCTGAGAATATGTGAAGCGTGAAATATTACGAGAAGTTTTAGTGGATGTTATTGCCAGAAACACAAGATACAGAACTAAAGAAAGGACAACTTAGTTCCCTATCTAGAATCAGAGTGTTTCTCCAGTGGGACTCACCAGACAGCCCTCTGTCACTCTCCTCAATGTGGGATCTCTTTTGTTCCTTGGGCAACTGCTGGGCAGCAATCTGACCTTCAGGGTCATCCAGGGGTCCTTCACGGTGGTCTCCATACTCCTGGAAACTGCCCGAATAGCCATAGTCCTCACTTACTTTACTTCTGGCCTCTGACTGTCTCTGGTACCTTTGTTTATTCTTTTGCTTTCTGGACGGTTTTGGTTCTTGAGAATCATGGCTAGTGGCATCTCGGTCATATTCCTGATTCTGATCAAAAGAGCCTCCTCCTACAAAATGTGAACTGTCCTTTGCATACAAGAAATTACTTTCCCTTTCACCACCATCCTTCTTCTTCTTCTTCCTTTTGTCTTTCCTCTTCAAAGGAACTTCTTCCAGATGTCCCTCCATGACCTGACCTTCAGGATATCCTTGGTACTGAGCATGCATGTTGTCCACATCCTGAAACCTTTCATCGTCACTTATCTGGTTTGCATAACTGCTTTTCTTGTTCATTGTCTTCTTATTGTCCCGTCTCCTACCACCAGAACCAACACTGTTTACAAAACTACTGTAGCAGTCTTTTTCCACACGCCTTGTCCCATCTCCGGAGGCAGTTATTGTCAGATTCATGTACCCTCTGTCCTGTACATTTTCAAATGACCCGCTATCATCAAGCACACGCACACTCTGATTGGAGGACTCTGACACTGATGAATGAGATCTTCTGACATCCTGTGTGGAATATTCTTCTGGTTTTTGTCCACTATGACTGGAGGAATCGGATCTATCTGTCCTTGTCCTCCTGAATTCCCTTGACCCCCGTGCTCGCCCCCTTCCTCTTCCTCCTCTCCTGCCACCCTCATCATAAACTTGACCTCTTCCACGACCTCTGCTCCTTCTTTTGTTTCTTATTCTGTTTCCCCTTATCATTATCATCATCGTCATCATCATCAACATCATCCATAAACTGGCCTGGCATTCCAGTGATGTCATAATGAACACTCCGTGAATTGTTAACATCATCCCATTCATTTTTAAAATATGGCATTGCTTGTTCTACAAGTATGTCTTCTTCTCTCCTTCTCTCTTGCCTGTCGTGTCTGTTGAATTTTTTCTTGTCCCTCTTTGTCCTGCCACCCTGCTGCCGCAGGTCACCTGGGTCCTCATCTACACTCCCATCATCAAAGTCCTGAAGTTGTTCCACACGCTCCTCATCAGCTGCGTCGATCGCAGGGAAGTCTTTGTTCTGTTTCTTTTTCTTCCTTCTGTTCTTTTTTCCTGGTCTAGTAATTCCTGCTGCATTCTCCTCCCTTCCCTGTTCCTCCCCATCACATCCCTGTTCCTCCACCTCCCCTCCCACTTCCCAGTCTCCACCTTTCTCTGTGGTCTTCCTCAACAGACTACTGTAACCCATTCCTGGAGGGTTCCTTGACCCTCTACCAAGCCTTTTCCTGACAGATTTCCCTGGTGAAACAGATCTGACATCACTTGCAGACTTTTGTCTAGTATCTCCACTATTAGCACCTGCAGAAGCTTCTTCCAATTCATCTTCTCCACAAGCGTTATGTCTTTCTTCACTTACCATCTCTGATGTAAACTCTTCTGGTATTTCACTTTGAATTTGTTTTGCAGAATCTGTTCTGTTTATCTGGTCATTATTAGTGGACTTGGTTTGTCTCAAGTCAGTTGTGTTATCTTCCAAATGTTCTTTGGCATTGTGCTCCCCATCAGCAAAAATACTTGTGCCATCCATCTTGGTGTCACAAGAAGCACTGACTTCACTTGTGTCAGGAACACAGACTGGCTGCTGGCTGTCCTTAAGTAAATGACTGTCAGAAATACTCTGATTTTGAGATTCGGATTTGATTTCAGTCCCAATCATGGCTGATACATCTCCTTTACATTCACCGCTCTCTGCATTCCTTGTACCGGACTTGATGTGATCCCCATCACACACAGATTCAACACCTCCTTCATTCCTTGTACCTGGACTGACTTGATCCCCATCACACACAGATTCAACACCTTCTTCATTCCTTGTACCTGGACTGACTTGATCCCCATCACACACAGATTCAACACCTCCTTCATTCCTTGTACCCGGACTGACTTGATCCCCATCACACACAGATTCAACACCTTCTTCATTCCTTGTACCCGGACTGACTTGATCACCATCACACACAGATTCAACACCTTCTTCATTCCTTGTACCCGGACTGACTTGATCCCCATCACACACAGATTCAGCACCAGGAAGGGAGGGATCAGTGGTCTTAACTGACCCAGTCACAAATGACTCTTCTGGTTTCACACAATGTCCAACATCAGCGGGCAATGGAGGTGTTGAAGGAGTGATATCAGCCTTGGTGACACCATGAGTAACTGTGCATGTTTCTTCTGATGATTGTGGGTCAAGTTGGGCAGACTTGTCTGTAACTTGGTCTGTGGTGACATCGTCAGTGACAATCTCATCTACATCACTGTTGTCCTCAGACTTCTCCTTAAGCTGCGCTCTCACTGAGTCTTCGGTCGGCTGACAACTGCCTTCTTCCACATCCACTCCTTCACTTTCCTCCTCAGATGCTCTCATTATTTTAGGGGGATCATCTACATTTTCCTCTGCAACAGTGCAAGGTTGTGATCCATCTGTGACACAAATGTTGTTATTGCCCTGACATTCTACATCAGCAGTGTTAGTATCAGAACTCACAATGGGGTTATCTCCCTTTGCATGCAAGTCCAAGTTATTTTCCTCACTTCCATGCAATAGGGTTGTGTGTCCATGCAAACTTGTGGTTTGTGAGTTACTTGTTGATCCATCATCAACCACATCAGACATCAGATCATCACTACTGTCCTTACCTGATCTCACTGATGCATTCGGCTGGGATTTACCTGAGACATCTTGGATATCTTTCCCTGTCCCGCTTGACTCTCTAATACTGATAGATTTAAGCTGATCCTCAACACTTTCAACATCAGCTATCACTTCCGAGTGTACACTTTCAGATGATGCCATGGAAACGTTTAATGTTGCCTGGTTGACACTAAAACAATCTGAAAAATATAACATTCAGTATATAAAAAACAATACATCCCTGCAGCACACTTGAAGTAATGGCTTTGTAACAAAATGACAACAAAGGGTGATCACCTCAAACTGAACAGGCTTCATCATCCAGATCAATATTACAATAATAAATAAAGCCTAAGTACAAGAGGGGATACTGCAAGGTCAAGATACAATATGTATCGTGACACATAGGTAATGATACAATTAATCTTGTTATATGAATATTGACATCAAATCACAATGAAACTTACTAAAAATAAATCTTTCATCACTGGTCCAAAAGGAAAAGCTAGCTATCAACACTTTTTTCAGAAGATATTTGTAGTAGTGAAGCTGAAATGTTAATTGCAATATATTTGACAACAGGACAGAAATGAGTCAAAAGTAATTTAGTATAGCAAGTGTATTGTAGTGATATAGAAAAAAGTAAACAAGCCCTCCTCCTGTAGAAGTGGGACTATGTATAAAGCTAGCCATCCTCCTATAGAAGTGGGACCATGTATAAAGCTAGCCATCCCCCTATAGAAGTGGGACTATGTATAAAGCTAGCCATCCCCCTATAGAAGTGGGACCATGTATAAAGCTCGCCATCCTCCTATAGAAGTGGGACCATGTATAAAGCTAGCCATCCTCCTATAGAAGTGGGACTATGTATAAAGCTCGCCATCCTCCTATAGAAGTGGGACTATGTATAAAGCTAGCCATCGTACTATAGAAGTTGGACCATGTATAAAGCTAGCCATCCCTATAGAAGTGGGACCATAGCCATCCTCCTATAGAAGTGGGACCATGTATAAACCTAGCCATCCTCCTATAGGAGTGGGACTATGTAGCTAGCCATCCATCCCTATAGAAAGTGGGACTATGTATAAAGCCAGCCATCCCTATAGAAGTGGGACTATGTATAAAGCCAGCCAGCCATGGACCATGTATAAAGCTAGCCATCCCCCCTATAGAAGTGGGACCATGTATAAAGCTAGCCATCCTCCTATAGAAGTGGGACTATGTATAAAGCTAGCCATCCTCCTATAGAAGTGGGGGACATCCCCATGTGGGATAAAGCTAGCCATCCCCTATAGAAGTGGGACTATGTATATGCTAGCCATTCTCCTATAGAAGTGGGACCAGGTATAAAGCCATCTATAGAAGTGGGACCTATAGAAGTGGGACCATGTATAAAGCTAGCCATCCTACTATAGAAGTGGGACCATGTATAAAGCTAGCCATCCTCCTATAGAAGTGGGACTATGTATAAAGCTAGCCATCCCCCTACAGAAGTGGGACCATGTATAAAGCTAGCCATCCTCCTATAGAAGTGGGACTATGTATAAAGCTCGCCATTCTCCTATAGAAGTGGGACTATGTATAAAAGCCATCCCCCTATAGAAGTGGGCTATCCTCCTATAGAAGTGGGACTATGTATAAAGCTAGCCATCCCCTATAGAAGTGGGACCATGTATAAAGCTAGCCATCCCCTATAGAAGTGGGACTATGTATAAAGCTAGCCCACCCCCTATAGAAGTGGGACCATGTATAAAGCTAGCCATCCCCCTATAGAAGTGGGACTATGTATAAAGCTAGCCATCCCCCTATAGAAGTGGGACCATGTATAAAGCTAGCCATCCTGCTATAGAAGTGGGACCATGTATAAAGCTAGCCATCCTCCTATAGAAGTGGGACCATGTATAAAGCTAGCTATCCTCCTATAGAAGTGGGACTATGTATAAAGCTAGCCATCCCCCTATAGAAGTGGGACCATGTATAAAGCTAGCCATCCCCCTATAGAAGTGGGACTATGTATAAAGCTAGCCATCCCCCTATAGAAGTGGGACTATGTATAAAGCTAGCCATCCCCCTATAGAAGTGGGACTATGTATAAAGCTAGCCATCCTCCTATAGAAGTGGGACCATGTATAAAGCTAGCCATCCTGCTATAGAAGTGGGACTATGTATAAAGCTAGCCATCGTACTATAGAAGTGGGACTATGTATAAAGCTAGCCATCCCCCTATAGAAGTGGGACTATGTATAAAGCTAGCCATCCTCCTATAGAAGTGGGACCATGTATAAAGCTAGCCATCCTGCTATAGAAGTGGGACTATGTATAAAGCTAGCCATCGTACTATAGAAGTGGGACCATGTATAAAGCTAGCCATCCTCCTATAGAAGTGGGACTATGTATAAAGCTAGCTATCCTACTATAGAAGTGGGACTTTGTATAAAGCTAGCCATCCTCCTATAGAAGTGGGACTATGTATAAAGCTAGCCATCCCCTATAGAAGTGGGACTATGTATAAAGGTAGCCATCCTCCTGTAGAAGTGGGACCATGTATTAAGTTAGCCATTATTTCCCCCAAAATAACAAGTATTCAACTGTAATAAATGATACACACAAAAATAGACTGTATCCCTTGGGCAGCCTGAGAGGCTGTGTTAATGTGTGTTTACTGTGGCAGCTAAATTGATAACTGTGTGAACATCTATAGGAGCTGCCTGAGTAAATCCGCAACGTAAACACACACACACACACACACACACACACACACACACACACACACACACACACACACACACACACACACACACACACACACACACACACACACACACACACACACACACACACATACATAACATATTTACGTGACCATTCCTCACTCAAAACATACCTGTCAGTACAAAAGTGTTCAGAGACTATGTTAACACATATGTATTGCACCACAAAAACACATACTCGCAATTCTCACAACACCCCAGACGCATAGAATGCATTGTTATCATGGTTGTCACACGGTCAGCAAGGAACGGGACAAACAAGACTTATAGTACTTGCCGCGCGTGTGAGCATAGGAAAACTAGATTACTAAATTGTGCACCTTTTGTTTTTGGAAACGTCAAAAATGCCTTCTGATTTCGCTGTCACGCATTCTGTAGTTGGCTTTCAGTTTACATATACCGCGATATTGCACGAGATTAACCAAGGGAGGCCACTCCAATATAACTTGGACAAAGCATAAAATGACATTTGGTGAATCTGCACGAACAGCTTGAACAGTGTTCGTAACCACATTTTATTTAATCTTTTTTCTATGCTAACGCGATTATTATCTACATCAGGAAACGTGCAACAAGAAATGGTACATGCGTGTAGAGAGTGAAAAATAAATCTGTTAAGTACAGACATATATATCTGGTGGTGATCAATTTCAAAGTCCCAAATTTAATTTCGTATAAAGAAAATTATACATACGTACCACTGATTTTGCGTTTCTAAGATTCCTGAAACCTGGATGATTCAATAACAAGTAACATATCTGCAGTTATTCCATAAATACTGACCCGCTACCCAAATACAATGCCGTCAATCAAGAAAAATATTGGTATTGGCAGAAATGTTTGTTTTCTGTTCATCTGTCCCTTTTTCAGTTATCCAGAATAATCACTTTGCCCATTTTTCAAAATTAGCGTTCAGACACTGTACAAGTATGCACAGGAACATTGGGATAGCCGAGTGTTTAAAAATTCGAGTTGGATTCCCTACATAGGATCACAACGTGAAGCCAATATTTGGTGTCCACCACCGTGGTATTACTGAAAGATTGCCAACCATACTCAGTCATTCGTATGTAGGTATCAACTGCACATCCTGTACAATAACACATGCATTCAAAAAAGACAATCTAACTTTTGTCAACATCACTGCATCTGTACATAAAAAGCATGAAATTACCTGTGTAACATCTGATGGCGAACATTTTGTTTACACAAAGTCTATTGTTAGCCTAACTTTACGCTCAGTCAAAGACAGTAAATATTCTCAGTACTGTGCAACATTTAGCTTTACGCCGATGAGGGGACACAGATCATGATGTGTGGCCGACGGAAAGGTCGTCTTGGCCTTGAGCCCCGGGATAACTGACACCTTTATACAATTGGCAAAATTGCTGCTTTGCCATCTCTGCACAGGTTTTACTCACTCTACACAAGCGTCTTCGTACTTTAACTATAACAGTTCAGGGCAAAAGTGTACTTTATCACTCGCCCGCTCGTGGAAAATACTGCAGTTTATTATATTCTTAAGGGTGAAATACTGTAAGTTAATATTGGTGAAAATAAAAATGGTATTTTCACTGAGTAGAATAACATGTTATTTCACTGAGTAGAATATCACCTTTGCCTGGAACTACGTTCTGCTCAAGGGCTAGACTGTAGTTGGGTTGCGGAATAAAATGCAGACTTACTCGATGTCTCGATCATTTATAAACAATGATCAAATTATAGTGAGTGAGTGAGTGAGTTCAGTTTTACGTCGCTTTTAACAATATTCCAGCTATATCATGGCGGGGAAACACCAGAAATGGGCTTCACACATTGTACCCATGTGGGGAATCGGGTCTTCGGCGTGACGAGCGAAAACCACTAGGCTACCCCACCGCCCGATCAAATTATAATGAATAGAATATTTTGTTAATGTTGTCAAATAACATATCAACTTTGTCAGACCACTCGATGAAAATATACATGCTATTTGACATTCTAAGATGAAAGATCAAAGGCGCCGACAGTACTTTATTTAAGAAATACACTTCGCTCTACCACCATGTATAGTGTATTCTAAGATGCCTAGCGGTTAGAACAATCGAAAAAAAAACATTATCAGACAATAAAGGTATAGTTTTTTGATGACGTAACAATTGAATGACGTTTTCCCGTCACTGCGCCATTCTAGTGTGCCCCCCTCGTAATCGAACTATTTTACATTACGTCACAATGTAAGCGACGTCACGATGCATGTCAGTTGTCATCGCCTCGTACGGCCTCCTACAGTAAACTACACCGTTGCATCCAGTTTCTTGGTTTGCTGTTGCTTCACGCAGCTAACATCACTGGTGGAAACATTACGTTTATGTTTTACGACGGTTAAAATGTGTCATTTCGACTCACAAGCGTCCTCGTGCTTTAACTGTAATAGTTCAGGGCGAAAGTGTGCTTTATTACAATTTAATACTTTCTAAGGATAATTACGATTAATCTAAGGCAGAAACAAACGACGGTGTCGGTGACCTAAATTAAGAATCCTCGCACAGGGCTAACTGGCGCGCTGTTCTATTGATGTGTCTGCCCCCTACGTGAAGACGAACGTTATCAGAAAAAACAACAAATGAAAAACAGTTTGATGACGGTTTACGTTCGGTTTAAATATCTTCTCTAAATTATTTTAATTACATCTGTGATTAACGTAAACCATACGGGGCAATATGAACGTCGCATTTCTACTACCAACGTAAGTTTAGATCAGTACATCCAGATGAAGCTGAGTAGTCAAGACGACATTCCACAATTGCATTGTGGGAATGTAAACATTACGAACGTTACCGTGTCGCTGAAAATTTGTCAGTCGAATCAAGACATTTAAAACGTCGGAAAACATAAACGTAATGTTTCCACCAGTGATGTTAGCTGCGTGAAGCAACTGCAAACCAAGAAACGGGATGCAATGGAGTAGTTTACAGTAGGAGGCTGAACGAGGCGATGGCAACGGACATGCATCGTGACGTCGCTTACATTGTGACGTAATGCAAAATTGTTCGATTATGAGGGGGCAGACTAGAATGGTATTACATTGTGACGTAATGCAAAAAGTGCACATTATCGTCTGTTCTAAGATGCCTAGCGGTTAGAACAATCGAAAAAAAATAATTATCAGACAATAAAGGTATAGTTTTTTGATGACGTAACAATTGAATGACGTTATCCCGTCACTGCACCATTATAGTGTGCCCCCCTCGTAATCGAACTATTTTACATTACGTCACAATGTAAGCGATTATTATAGTTAAAGCACGAGGACGCTTAAACATTCATCGCCCGATAAAGTACTGTCGGCGGCTTTGATCTTTTAGAGAAGCATCTTAGAATTCGCTATGTTTTCTTTTTTCATAACTATATGTGATAACCTGGTTGTTTATCATTGCTCCTCGGCTGAGGCGGCAGGCAACCGAATTATGCCGGAGTATTATTATCAAAAGTGACACCTTTAAAGGTCACATGCAACGTAAAACACAACTTTGCAGATTCTGATACCTTTCGGTATGGACTTACCGAAACAAATCATCAAAAATGCAAATTCAACTTATAAAGTTGAAAAATAACGCGATGAAAAAAAACGCGCGAAATCGGAGTTCAAACGTTTCCCTAATTTTCCCCAGACTTTTTCTGGGGAATACGGGTTTCAACAGCTGGGCTGCGCTCATAGCATGTGCGCAGTGAAATAGGTTCGCGCAAGTTGGAAGCGGGCTGTCTGGTGAATACTCGGTGAAGGCTTTGGTGTGAGCTATTTTCATAATGTTTTGTTGATATCTCACAGGCGCGAGCTTTTTATATGTTATGACAGTAAATAAACTGTTTATATAATTTCATTTGTCTATTTCACCACACGTTCTTCTTACCGAGTCACTTTCTCAGTTCGATACTTAAAAGCAATGTCATTATTTAGAGTTGACACAATTTCTAACTGTGATATAGATATGTCGTTGTCACAGACAAAACTCAATGTCTTGTTTTATTGACACCTGTGTGTCTGTCTGCCTGTCTGCTAATGACAATATTCAATACACAACTGCGATCACTGACCACATGCAATTTGAACTTAACACCAATCAGGATATACACCATAAACAAAACGCATTGATTTATGGCCCGAGTTCGGTCTCTGTCACATTATGTAATTACACAGACAGGCAGGTGTGATACTTGAACACATGACATGTTATGATGTCTGTTGATTGCAAAATGTTATACACAAAAAATGAGCATGTATTTACAAAACCCAACATGAGCCGTGAAGGCGGCATCTGCTAATGAACCAGCCGTTACACTTGAGTGCACACCCACCCGCTCTGACTGGGTTCGGTATCCCGGCTGCTTCGTTTCGAGGGAGGTAAACCCAAGTACAAAATATTGCACTTTTGATTTGCGATTATACGCTTATAATTTTGTTTATTTGTTTTTTCATAATCAGCAATGCATATTATATGTCATGAAGAAGTGATAATTGTGTTTTAATTATGTTTGATTTTTTGGTTGCATGTGACCTTTAAAGTTTCCTAGGCTATATGCGTGTCTCCATATCGCACCTTTAGGCTAAAAGTTTATATTCATCAGGTACGCATGAGTTGCTCAACACATGGAAATCGCCAGACAGTATTCAAAATAGAAACTGACAATAGTATAATCAAATATACCTACCACACTATATTGTATCTAAAACGTATACGACATATTCTAATTGGATATTTCTATAACAGCCTTTTCGCTTGTAAAACCCTTGATATACCCCCGACTGATCATTTATGATCGATGATAATTTTGACCAGTAAAGTGAAGTACCTGAATATATAATAATCTTTTACGTGGTGGGATCTCCGTCCAAAATGGAATACAGCATTGTGTCAGTCAAACACAACCCACGGGGATACTACAAGACGGCGATGTGGAAACGTGTCCTGGGAACTAGCAATCCACTGAGGCGCTTTGCATGTATTTAACCCCAACCAAGTGTAATATACAAACTGCAATCTATACATAACGATCTCAAAGTGTCAACCAGTTTCACTTCGTTTATACAGTAGCATGGTTATATGCACTTCGACTAAATTTACAGAATGTGTCCGGGAACATATACTTACAATATGGCTAACGTGAGGGACATTCACATTACGGCTACATTGAGGGAAATATGTATACAATACGGCTACCGTGAATGACATTTATTTACAATATGGCTACCGTGAAGGACATATATTTACACTATGGCTACCGTTTGGGACATATATTTACAATATGGCTACCATGAGGGACACACGTTTACAATATGGCTACCGTGAATGACATTTATTTACAATATGGCTACCGTGAAGGACATATATTTACACTATGGCTACCGTTTGGGATATATATTTACAATATGGCTA